ACTCAAATTTATACTTGATATATAATCGAAAAACACATATTTCATATATTATTATTAAATTAAATATTTTAGCTCATTTTTTATTTTTATTCAAAAATATACATGAATTTGCATTAAAATATCAAACTCATATTCATGTGTTTAATAATATAATATGATAAGAAGACTATATCACGTGTCATTGTGTTTACATAAATCTCTCACACAATATATTATCATTATTGACTTTATATAAATTTTTGTATGCTTTGTAAATAAGATAATGCAACAAAGATGAAATTATAAATTAATGTTAAATGATATATTTTGTTAATTTTTTTAAAAATTTTATTAACTAAATCAAGTTTTTTGATGTGCTTAGTAATGCATAAAAAAGTATAAGGAAAAAATTGGCTATTATAGTAAAACCATATATCAAAAAATGTCATAAGAATAACCTTCTAATGAAAACTTGTAACAATTTATTCAACAAATTTACTAACAAAATATGTTACAATTTTGATTTCATGAAATAGGAAAAAAAATTAAGATGCATAGCTTGAAATAAATCATTTTTTATAATAGTGTTTGATCATTATTTAATGCTTCTGTATAATTATATTAATGTAAAAGTAACAAGATAAATCATTTTTAGGAATGAATCAAATTGTTGAAACTTGTGTTGTATGATTGATCTTATATTGTGAGGTTTCGAATGTGCTCAAATTGCAAACTATTTAAAAGGAAATTGCCAACTGCAAATTTTAAATGTGGATCCAAAACTAGCAACAATTAGATAGCATAAAGCTCACAATCTTGAATTAGGTTGATCGGATTGGCATGATTGATCTACCATCACACAAAAGAAATTATGTTTTACGTTTAGATTGAGTTATGTTTGTAAAGAACTCATTCCATGAATTCAAAGACTAGCCAGCAAAAATTGAAAAATCTATTATCGCTAATACAATGTGATTCTTTGTACTTGTAAACTTTTGACACATTAATAAATAAACTTGAGATCTCATTTATGACTGCAATCAAAATCCATCAAGACAATATGGACATCTCAAGAACTTGTTGAAAAGCATCAGTCTCATCAAAATAAATCGTGATTTCAGATCGTATTTTGATTAAAAAATCATGATACGTTAAACATAAAAATGCAACGGATAAAAGATACATTTGGACAAACAACTTGTTTTTTTTCAATCAAATATCCTTAATTCGTAGAAAGTAAATCAATGTGATAAGTATCTTATGAAATCCACAACATATATTTTTGTAAATATCTTGCATCATTGTATCAATCTGATGTAGCAAACACTATACACGAATGAAATAAAATCTAACAACATCTTCAATACACATGACAAATCTCATGTTCACACTTACTTAAAACATGTCTTTATATAAAATGAAAACGGCTTGCAGATTACTTTAGGTTAATTTGTCATATATGTGTTAAGTTTATAGAAGTAAAAACCACAACTTAAATAACATGTATATGTGATTATATGAATGATGATAATTGTCATGACATGGTTACAACGTAAAGTACACTCACATGCAAAACAAAACTAGTTCTCAATGGATGTAATTATTCATAACTTAAATTGCTTGATGGGATTCATCAAGTTTCACTTTATTCAATGGTATTTCACCGACGACACACCATTGCAAAGTTTTAAAATGTGTTTCTATATTGAGAAATTGAATGCCATTGTGACTCGAAGTTGAAGTCGCGGATGTTCAAGTTTGAGGTTGTGAGTCAAACCATGTAGGTACAAAACAACGGGCTTATCTTAACTATGTAATAATATAGGAAGGTAATATCAAAGATGTTGGTGCCAGTGCGACTGCATGCTTATTTTAGTAGCAAACTGAGCTTCATCGACTCCCTTAACATTAAAAAAGTCCCAATAGATTGGTGATGCACACGACATCGTCAGCATCGGCATTCACGCCAGAGCTCGGAAGTAAGATTTGCACTCAGCATGGAATGGAAGGAACTATATTGAACAACTCTTTCCATAAATCCATGTGATGAAGCATATGTCGGACTTACTCGCATTATGAACGAGGGAGTCGAGTCGAGCTGAGTTGAGGTAGAGATTTCAGAGCCGTGCCAAATTCACGTTCATCAGACAGCCACTGACGACTTTGGCCGCGAGTGCATCCATGGACAATGATGTCCGAGCGAACATGTGATAGAATCTCGTAGAAGCGGAAGTGAAATATGATGAAGGAACAAAACGATTTCACATGAAAACTGATTTTGGAGTCTTGGAAAACACGGGGAGCCTACCAAAACATGTTCCTATTGCGACGTAATTTCACTGCAATCAACTTGAGCTGATATTAGAACATGAATGACATGTATCGTAAGTGGGGTTTCATCGAGTACAATAAAACTTAAAGTATCACAGTAAGCAATTTAGGTTATGATGGGATACCATCAAGTAATTAACTGTTTGGATGGAATACACAATCCCGGAAACTTGAGAAATTTACTTTTTTTGAAAAGATTTTGATGACTCTGCTTACTAATCATCACAAGGTCAAAAATCTATCTTAAAGTTGCTAGTTAACTCTCCTATGCATTGTGGGTAGATCTTGTCTATTTATTACCTGGCTCCTTACATAAGAACTTAAGAAAATATGTGTTTATCATATAATTTTTCTATTGGGTTTTTTCGTTGTTTCTTTTCTCTCCTTACATAACAACTTAAGAAAAATCTGTGTTTATCATATAATTTTTCTATTGGGTTTTTTCTTTGTTTCTTTTCTCGTATTTACCATTGTGATCCTCATCGTAAGGTGTTTGGGGTCTGAGCATCCGGATGAGAACATACACATACATGCGTATCAATTAATGCCAAGAGTCTATGGAGTAAACTCAACATGTCCGTTGAGATGTTATACAAGTATTATGCAGGTGTACATCTGCGTAAGAAAGCCAATGAACATGTTCGAACTCTGAGCTAACACTTCCGAATTATTGAAACTTACACCGGCATTTTTCCTCATTGTAGGTGATTTCTACTGGTTTACATGTATCCACCACATATTTACCAAAGAAACAAAAAATATTTGTTCACATTCAAAGTTTCAACGTCTTGGAGCTTGAAATGAAGTGTTTTCGACCATATCTGTAGTTGTGTGTCAGACGAATGCAGATATACTGATTCTGGAACAAACCACCGGATGATGAACTGGAGGAGGAGGATGATCATCTTCAACGATATTCAAATTTCGTTTTCAATGTGGTAATCACTTCGATGTTCAAAAGACGATCAGGACTAAGAGTATCAGAGAAGTCGGAAGTCATATTTTAGAGAAACGGATATCCGTCCTATGCATAGAGAACGGGATACATCTATATCATGGATTATGAAAGTAGTTTTGATTTTTCGAGCTTTCAACTCCATCGTCAAGTCATTGTTTGCGGTATTGAAATCTTTGCAATGGGCTTTCTTCCTTCACAGACTCGAGGGATGTTACCGGTAGGTCCATCATTTGGTCATGGTCGCGTTGAGACTCGGAAGAAAACCAGGAATCAGAGGTCATGCTCGCAACTGAGCTATTCCAGAAACGGAGAAACCTCAAAAAACATATAAACAATGGACAGAGGGGAAATTTGCCAGGTCATGCACCATGTTGCCTGGCTTGGGTCATCCATGAGCGAGGCGATCCGACGGGGTCTTCCCATCCTCCACTCCGCTGCACACAAACCTCAGAGAAGATGCAAACGCGGCTACGATGAATAAATTAGGTTCGCGGCTGACAGCGTCTCGGAGCTATGTATGACCGGCGCGGGGGTGGGGGGGAGAGGGGAAATCACCCGCGGTAAAGAGAGTCGGGCGAAAAAAGGCCCCGGGAGAGGGTAGAAAAGAATGACCGGATATCGTGAGGCTGCAGCAGGAGTTGACTGGGATGGACGACGATCGGGACCGTCTGCACACGAGGCACGCCGGCGCAGCGCAGGTTAGCGGAGCGATGGGGCTTAGGCTCGGGCCCCACGCGCGGGCTTTGGTTGGGGCCGGGTCGTGGGTGGGTCGGAGGGAGGAATGGTGACTGCTGAGGACGAGGACGAGGGAGGCAGAAGCAGATGGAGGGTGCTTCGTTTCGGTTGTTTTGTTAGCGAGAGGCGAGAGGCCGAGGAGGGATGGAGGGCCGGGCCCGGTTGGGATGGGTTGGGTTGGGGTGGGGTGGGCAGGAAAGGCAGGGAGGGACGGGAGAGGCGAGGCGAGGCGAGCAGAGTTGGTGGTGGTGGTGATGCAGCAGCAGGAGCAGCAGCGAGGGAGGGAGCGAGCGAGCGATGGCCGCAGCAGCAGGAGCAGCAACAGGAGAAGAGCAGCAGCAGAAGCAGCACTGCAGTGTTGATCCATCGCGGCTTCGGTCGTGCGTTCGTTCGTTCGGTCGTTTGTTCGTTCGCTCACTCACTCCCCGTCCGTGGTAATATAGATTAGCAGCACCTACCAAATTAGAAGACCGGAGGGAGAGGGAGGGAGGGAGGGAGGTAGAGGGAGAGAGAGAAGTAGGCCAGACGGACCAGAAGAAGAAGCAGCAGCAGAAGAGGTGGTCTCGTCGTACGCACGAGCATCAGCATCAGCAACATTGGGAGGAGGGGTGGATTGAGCGAGATAGAGAGGTCGTTGGTGGGCAGAAAAAGGGAGGAGGAGGAGGAAGAAGAGGAGGAGGAGGAGGAGGTGGTGGTGTCTTGATGTCCTACTCGACTGTGTTGGAGGGCAGGCGGAGACAGCAGCAGCAGGAGAAGGAGGATTTGCAGCTTGCAGAGGAGGAGGAGGTTGAATGGATTGGAGGGTCGAAGAAAGGGAAGGTCAACAGCAGGAGCAGGGATCGGATGTGATGTAGGAACAGGGTTGAGACGTGAACCTGAGCGCCTCCGGTGAACCATCGGAGATCGATTGAGGCTGTTTGGTGGTCGACCAGTGGTCGAGGGTCCAGAGGCAGTGGTGCGTGGCGGTGGTGGGAGCGCTAGCAGTTCGCTGGTGAGTCGACGAGAGCACGCGAGCGTTGTGGCCGAGGCGGCCGCGGAGTCATGAGTTGAGGATCGACGATTTGCTGGCAGAGAGGAAGTGAGTTAGGGAAGGCAGAGGAGGGAGGGCGAGAGAGAGGTTGGCGCGGGCGAATGCGACTCCACCCATGAGCCCCTCGCCTCCCTTCCCCTCGCCTGTGCCCCCTTCGCATTTGTCGTCGTCCTCTCCTCATCCAGGAATCATTGGGGAGCACCGGTCCGTTCAACAACACAACCATCTGAGTAGCCTGCAGCAACAGCAGCATCAAGAGCCTCCGAATGGAGAGTATCTGTTGCACCTCCTGCAGTCCGGGAATCATCAAGTCCAACACCACAATGTTGTTGGCAATGGTGGCGAGCGTGGCTACGAGCCACAACCTCATTATAACTTCTCGCTGCCGGGAATTGTCCCCGGAAACGACATCCCCATGGCCGCCTGGGATCCAGCCGTCGCTGCTCTCGGTCCCAGCCATTCTTTCAATGGACTGGGATCAGCAGGTGGCGAGCGAGACATATTCCCCAGGCTCTACAACTCTCAGTATAATGTGTCGTTGGGCTCCGGATGGCCCAACCAGCAACAGCATGCTGTTGGTGTGGCACCTCTAACTTCTGTTTCTTCTCCTTCGTCAACCACCTCTTCTTTGTCTTCTCATGTAGATCTCCGCATCCTCCAGGGTCGCACTGGAGGACATACTTTGGTTTCATCTCCGGGGGTGGGGGTTCTGCCGTCGTCTCTGTACGGAGGCCACGTCGAGATGGTGCCGAGAAGGTCGACCACCCCTCACGAGTGGCAGCAGCAGAGTCCATCCTCCGTCGCATCTCATCAGCTGCGAGGCATGCTTACGGAGTGCGATATCTTCTCCAACTCGTCGAACGTGTCCCCCAGCAATTTCAGCAGCAGCCGTGCGAGCAATTCCGGCGAGCGAACGCCCCATCAGCAATTCTACGGGGATGGGGCCGAGCTGATGAAGCTGTTGCAGATTTCGTCATCAAAACCTGTTGGAGTCGGTGCAGCAGATCCGCTGAAGGTGGAGAAACAGCAGCTGATGGGATTAAGCATAGGAGGGAGTTGTGGTGTTCCCCAGAAAGTGAGCCCAGCGATTGTTCACGGTCCTATCGGGCCTCCCAAACGCCCTGAAACGAACAGGTCCTCCCCCGCTGACGATATCTTAGGTCGATTTTGGCCAGCTCCCGCTGCATCGATATCCAATGGGCTGCAGCATCCACAGGACATTAGCAGTAGCATTAATCTCAAATCGCTGGGGTTTCCCTACAAGGAGGCGAATTCCGGGTCGTTGCCTCCGTCCAAAGACAACAGGGGTTGGTGGGGCGAGCCGCCTCCCGGTGATAAGAAGTTCGAGGCTTTCGCAGCAGGCGAGTCCTTGGCGCCTCATCCTTCCTTCGGCAGTAGTGATGGAGTCGGTGGCCGCTTCGCCCTGGCAAACCGATTTTACGCGTTTAATAAAGGTGGTCTTTCTGACAATTTGGAATATCACGACGGGAGAGGGCTGCTGGGAGGATGGAGCGGAGAGCTATTCGACGATGGAGTTGGGTCTGGTGTGACAGGTCCTCAGTTCCGCAAAAGCCAGAGGCCTCGTGAAGACGCGCAGCTTTATGTGAAATCTATGGATACCAATTTAAATTTGAATTCGTCTAATCACCATCACGATCGAGAACACGTAGAGAGTCCGTCGAAAGAATCCGAGCTCGACTGCCCTCGGGACAACGGCCGAGCTTCGGAAGGGACGAGGGTCGTAGGAGGCCGCAGGGGCTCGGGCTCCCGCAGCGACGCAGGCCGGCGAGGCGGGCGGACGGTTGTAGGCCAGTGGGTAGCTGTGAATGAGAGGCAGAGGGAGAGGGATGGTCTGGACGCCAGTGGACCGAGCGAAAGTGCCGAAAGCGGGTCTGATAAGGGCAGCAATTCCGCCGGGACCTCATGCAAGGAGGAAGCGCTTGTCGTGGCCAAGGAAGGAAGTGGGTCGCAGAAGGCCAGAGACGACTTGAAGCGGAGAAGGGGGCAGCAGCAGGAATGGCGCATGAAGACTCCTCCGGCTCATGCTCAGACCCAGGCGCAAGCCCAGTCCTCGTCTCACGCAAAGAGTTCTGAATTCTCCTCCGGTGCTGATTCCTCTGAGATGATCAATGGGAACTATCGAGTCTCCTCGCCCCTGAAAATTCGTCCTCTTGCTGCTCAAGTCGATCACCCGGGATTGCCGTCGAGTGTCGTTCCCGATTCTGCCTCCGTTCCAGGATCTGCTGTGGAGGATGCGAAGAAGATCTACCATGACCGCTCGAATTTCCACGCGAACGGGGGAAGTGATAACCACGATGAGGGTTTGGCGAAGGAAGAGGAGGAGGAACTCCGAGAAGCGTTTGCCGGATACTTGGACTTGATGGATGAACCGGATAGCCACAAACAGTCGTTTGGACTTGGTCCTGCTCAAGAGGTGAGAGAACACGTCATTTGTTGGTTTTCCAGCATACATGTTTGTTCTCCAATGGGTTCTAACGGGAGCTTTTATTTCAGTGATTGTCCTTGCGCATTATTCTGGTTACTTTTCACGTTATTTTTGCTTTTTCTCTGTTCTTCAGTTCGTGCAACTAACTTCCAGATCTTGAAATATCAATGAGTTTCACTTGAACTCCAAGTTGTTTAGTGTGGGGGTCATATTCTAGACATTTGTTATTTCCTCCTCGACTTCTTGATGTACACCTAAAAAAATTAATACCTCTATTGACAAGAGCGTTATTTATGAAAAAGTGCTACAGTTTCTTACGTTTTTAAATTATTTCTACTAGTAAGGTATTTGCTTCATCGACGGTTAAAATTTTTAAGTGGATGCAAGTCTAGTATGACGTTTTGCCCGACATTCTGATGGGTCATCAGAGTTTTTCTCTTCCAGTTTTGGGCCCAGAGAACGTATGATATATCCTTAAAGCTCTGCAATCTAGCTCTAATTACTAGGAATTCTATCTTACTTGTTGCCCAAGTCACTCGTAAAGCGGGTAACCTCTTGAGTTCACCAAGAACTTAGTGTCTGAGTGGCTAAATCCACCTTCTTATTATGTTCGTACATAAGTAGTATCTCCTTGCCGATGAATTTTAGGTCGTTTTCGGTCTTATGTGATTATTCCACTCACATCATAGATTTCCTATTTATGCCCTAAAGTATTAAACGTGTTTGACTTCACAGTCGTACTAGTTCATCATCCTATGCAGTATGTGTTATGCGCTAGCGCTAGTCCTGGTTTAGAGTGGCAAGATTTTTTCTCTCGGTTGCTTTTCCCCTTTCTCTATACTTGAAGTTCTCCTTTGGTGCCGTCTCCAGAACGAAGAGTCCCTTTTCCGTCCTTGCTTTTTCCGTTTGTTTTCCTCTTCCGTTTGGTCAAGTTGTCAAGTTTTGGACCCTCAACATACCTGAAGGTGAAAATGCGAACATTTCTAGAAGGTGGTGGGTTTTAGCCTGCGTGACAAGGTGAATCGGGAAGTTGTCTAGACGAAGTCTCATTGTTTGTAGGCAGTACGTTCCCGAGTGATTTTGGAACCTACGCTTGCGGCACATCTGCACATGGGGTCAGATTGCAGGACTTTAACAACAGTCTAAATTACCTTGCTGATTTGAATCTTGAAGTCTTATGTTTAAATCATGATTAGATTCTTGAAACTATGATATGATGCCGATACATGTGTCGTAGAGTACAATGAGTTGTGGCACGACTGAAAGAGGACTTAAGATGACTTAAGATGATCTGTTCCGTCTATTGCAGGAGGTAGATTACGAAACACGCCATGAACGAGAGTTCCGAAGACATCCACATCGCACTCTTGCCATGCCTTCGTTGAGACCCGAGATGCGATACCGACCAGATCTTGAGAAGTTCACTTTCCAGATGCTACAGATGTATCAGTCTTTGATCCCTCCTGAAGAGGAAGAGCGAAAGAGGCGACAGTTTTTGTCTCATCTGGACCAGTTGGTAGCCCGCGAGTGGCCTGGAGCTCGCCTTTTTCTCTTTGGATCTTGTGCTAATGCATTCGGTGTGTGCAACAGTGACATTGATGTATGTCTGTCTATCAATGATGATCAGCTCAGTAAAGCTGACCTTGTGCTGAAGATGGCTGCTATTTTGCGATCAGATAACATGCAAAATGTTCAGGTACATCACATCATGATATTTCTTAAATTTTGATTGCAAGATATGAGGTTTCTTCGTTTGCCGAACGCTCATGCAAGAAGAGTCTCGATTATATTTACTTTGTGCTTGTGAGAGATATCGATGTTCTTCAGCTTGTATCGACTTACTGTCTAGTTCGCTTTGTTATGTCAAACGCTAGAATTGAACCCTTGACTTTCGTACTTTTTTTGACCTCGTAATGCAATGAAGGTCGTACATATATTATTAACTTTAACGTGTATTGTTATACGTATTCTATTCTGACAGGCCTTGACGCATGCACGAGTCCCCATCGTGAAGTTTACGGAATCCACGACTGGCATATCATGTGATATTTGTGTTAATAACATGCTGGCAGTTGTAAATTCCAAACTTCTGCATGACTACTCCCAGATCGATGTGCGTCTGCGACAGCTGGCATTTTTGGTTAAGCATTGGGCCAAACGTCGTCAAGTGAATGAAACATACCGGGGCACGCTTTCCAGCTATGCGTATGTCCTACATTCCCATTGGAGAAGAATGAGCTGTAGTGTCAATGGTTCAAAATGAAGAATTTTGTTATGGTGGTTAAAGAATGTGTTTGAAGGTACATGTAAAATTGCTAGGTATGTCGGACCAGGACGGTCTTCAGGACTTAACTTGATGCCATTCAAATGTTGTCTGGGCAATATTTGACATTCTTCTCCTGCATTGTTTGTGGTGATCACTTTCCAGATATGTGCTAATGTGCATCCATTTCCTTCAACAGCGCAAGCCCGCAATTCTCCCATGCCTACAGGTAAATTGTCCATCTCGTCTAACTTGTATCTATTAATGGATGGTTAGTATTCTCTCTGAGAGCGTGGTGTAGCTGTTAGCAGAGAGTGAAAGCATGGATGATATCTTAGTACCTGCTACAACTCGGTTCAGCTAACTCCCCCTACCGAAGAGAACGAGAGTAAATTCCAGTGTGTGAAAAAATCTAAGGTGGTGAGGTGTTGGGTAGTTTTCATTCTCAGCCGTGTGAAAATAACTTGGTGTCGCTACTCTATTAGGTGTAAGCGGTGTCTTTGTATCGAAATGAACGTTGTCTAGCTAAATAGGGTTATCAATGGTTGAAAAGGGGCCGAAGACGCCTTGCTCTTACACCTTATTTACTCGCACTTGAATAAACCTCCAAGAGGATATTCCTCTTTGACATTCAATTGTGAAGGAAAGAATCTGTTCCTTCATTGTGTGCAATGATGGGAAAAAATGACGGGTAAAAAGTAATCCTGCCTTCTATCCATATGTTCAGTTCAGTCATCCATATGAATGGAGAGCAAACTCCAAGGAAGGCCCAAATTCCTGCCTTGATATACTGCATTGTCAAAAGCATGGCTTATTACTGCGTCATCTATGAAGACTTTCTTACCTTATGGCAAGGAAGCCTTTACTGATTATGGTTTGGGTACGATAGAGCCGTCAATGACCCAGTGACGATTTACAGCACAAATGTGGAATACTCAGTCAAAAAGTGCAGATTAGCTTGTCAGTTTTGAAGCCCTTGAAATGATTGCCTACTGTACTCGGGGCTCTCTCCCAGCGTACTGAAATGGATCTGGGAAGCTAGGCAGAGAAGGCTTGTCCTACTTCTCTGAAGCTTTATCACAAGCAAATTGCAGAATGGACTCCGATTTCGAATTTGACCTGGAGGATAGGTCAAGGGACCAACGAAATCCAGACCAAAGTCATACTTTCAGGAAACGCTTCTAGGACGGACACATTAAATTTTGCCCAGCCACGATAGGCATATCAGTGGGCCACTGTTGTATAGTCACCCAATCGCTGTCGAGAATATCTCTCTAGGGCGTTGTTAATTTGATCAAGGCCCTTTCATTCCAGTGTGCAATTGTAGTCTTCTGTACATCCTCTTCGGTGTTCAAGGTATACCCTGGACATTTCTTGTCTTATGTTTACTTGTACACACGGGGTAAACGATTTTGCGAAGGAGGCTACACACAATTGCATATGCCCAAAGTTTTGGTTCATGAACATTATTTGTACGTGCAGAGGTTTTACATGCTGTTATTTAGTTCTCGAGGGATCACTTCGGAGTCAAACTTTGTAGAATGCGATTTCGTCCCTTTCAAAGATCCTGCCCACCAAGAACGAAAATTTGTCAAGTGTCCAGGTTTCATATAGTCATATTGCTGCCAATAGGCAGGATATTTGTGAGAAATTTTAGGAGACGCGTTCTAATTTATATCGATACCATGTGCAGTCCTTGAGTCAGTACATGATATCTTCTCCTTGAGGCCACTTGTCGTCTACACTAACATGTGTTGCATGTTGCAGGACATGCGGCCAACGTACAGGGTGACCGTTGGCAACATTGAGTGTGCATATTATGATCAAATTGAGACCTTGCAGTCGTTTGGTGCTAATAACAAGGAAACCTTGGGAGAACTTTTGACTTCCTTTTTTGAGTATTGGGCTTTTCGCCACGACTACACCAGAGCAGTCATATCAGTTCGCACAGGGGGCTATCTCAGGTATATTATGTTGACAAGTGCGGTTTTACATGGAAGATCTTGGGCTACGGTGGATTTCCTGATATTGATATCTCATCTAGGATTTGATCTTTTGTCTTTCATAACACTCTGCCTTCACGTTTTTCTTTGGACTTCAGCAAGGATGAGAAAGAATGGACTCGGCGCATCGGCAATGAGCGTCATCTTATCTGTATCGAGGACCCCTTGGAGGTTGCACATGACTTAGGGCGTGTGGTGGATCGTCACAGCATACGTGTACTCCGTGATGAGTTCCATCGGGCTGCTAAAATTCTTCGTCATGATCTGAACCCATGCACAACTCTTTTTGAACCTTTCGTCAGGGAGAAATAGCCCCCAAAACCTTCATCAACCCTATTCAAGAATGGTCTTCGAGACCTTTACTGCTGCAAATCATGCAGAGTGGCAGCTAGGTGGTGAATGCTGAGAATATACATATTGTGGGTTTTTTCCGGGGAGTGTGTAGGGAATGAGGAAATTAGATTTCTCAAACGATTGGATCAAGTGAGCCAATGGCGATTGCTTACGTGCCTCACAGTAAAGCTTTGTACAGAATCACCTGTTGTCCAGATTCAGGTGGGTTGTAAACCGGCATCGTCGAATTTCTCACCAGCCATAGTACCGTTCTGGTCCACCATATAGGGAGATTATCATAGCTTCAGGTTGTGACATCCAGTTTTTTGGTGCTGGTGGAGGAGTGTGTACCCTTTTTCCTAGCTTGAGATGGAGGGAGATTACTTTTCCCTGTGATAAGGAAGATGCGATCAATTGGGTCATTTTCCTTCACGTTTTGCGGCTGGATACCCTCAAGAAGTGTTTGCTTGTATATAGATGGGAAAGGCCAATAGCATTGGAACTTTGGCCCGTCAGTTGGATCAGGCACATTTGGGATGGAAGTCTTCGAAGCCACTTTGGAAGGCAGGCAGGCAAGCGACAGGCTGTGATTAAACCACCCTTCGGAGTCGGGTTTGGAAGGCAGATGTTTGGCTAGTTACAGCTAGAGCCAAAATGGCATAGGTGGGAATCTGAAAGAGGAGAATTGACAGGGTTGGTACGTGCTGGTTCATCAGTATCTTGACTAAGTTTTGATGTCGCAGTGAACTCGTCAGTAGGCACCCATTGAACTTTCTAGTTTGGTAGGAACGTGTGCTCCATCTCGACGTTTGACCAGCAGAAATTTGGAATGAGGTTCTTTAAGTGACGGTCTGTCTGGGTAGACGGGAGTGCGAGTCTGATCAGTAGCAACTGACCGTAGATATGTAGATGTTCTTATTCCAGACATGCTATATGTTTGCTGGTATACGGACAGCTTAGTAATCATTTAGCCTCTGAACTCGTCAGTTCAAGCACTGCGCACCGGTCGGGTGTCCCATGCTAGAGATTTATACAAAACAGAAGGCATCTTAACCAAGAAGGGGGCAGTTTCTTGTATTTTGACATTAAGTTATTCCACTTTGAGGAAATTTGTGGTAGAATCTGTGTTTGTTGTCATGTAGCTAGCGGTTTTTCAAGTGCCAAAGCCGCTCAGCCGGGTTGTAGTAAGGACATGGTGCCGAAAGGGAGAGAAGGCGGCACTCTTCAGATTGCTCGTGGAACCGACCAACCAGTTCACACCTGCAGTAAAGTAGGGTTGTAATACTGGACTACAATAAGTTCCAGAGGTTCCAGATTAGGGTACTTACGTGACTCTTTACTGCCAGGGCTCACTTCATGATTACAACAGGACAGGCTCACTTATTAGTGATTCTTCATTCAAGAGGACATCGGCCCATCAGACTGGATCGTGAAACAAAATGTCCACATTTCTGTCCTCGTCTTTTCCGAGAACAGTTGGACGGAACAGAGCCCGTGGCGCCCGTCATTACATTGGTGTTCTGAGTATATCTAGGTCCTTCAAATTTAAGGGATGTCCGTATTGGTGAAAGATATTCATGAGAAGTGACTTATTTTACTGTACCCGTCATCGTGCTCGGTCGTGTTTTGTTTTCAAGTACTTCATGGCTGATTGAAAGAAAAGGGACTCTGTTTTGTGCCCAGACGTTGACAGATTTCCCAGCTTCACTTGGCAAAAGCGATTACATGAGTGAAGGCGGGTCTGCACCTGATAAGATTTCGAGGAGACTTTCACTGAATCTTCCAGTTGAGGCTGGCGTGTGACGATTCTAAAATGCATACTCTGGCCAATTTATTAGTTTGTATGTAGATTTTGTGGATATTTGCAATCGTGTAGGAATGGGTACGAAGGTAGGTGGGTTCCGAGAGACGGAAGAGCCTTAAGCCGTTTTCACCTACAGGGGAACCTGCCTTCGTTCTTCGATGAGGAGTGCCTTCAAGAGGCATGAGAGTCCGACATACTTCGCATCCTAGATCTTGGCACGGAAGCGGATCCTGATTGGGTTCATACCTAAAACGTTCCTTAGGGCACTTGCCGGGCTATGGTTGGATCTGCGCCGCCGGAGATTGCGATTGTTCGACCTTATCGAAACTCATGTTGTATACAGACGTGTGGACCCATGCTGACTTCTGGGTTGCCCACACCGGTCTGAAAGTACGGCGTGTGGCCTGTATACTCTCATAGGGTTGAGGTTCTCGATTGTTCGCGCTGCGAAGGCATTGACCTTAGAATATGCAAACCACTGACGTGAGAACCAGAGCTCAGCAACTTTCCAAGAGAGTCGACCTTCGCCCCATAACCCTGCAAGACGAGTTGGTTCAAGTCTTCAGTAGTTGTATCTCTTTGAAGTTCACACGTGTGCTGCGATTGGAGGGGATGAAACCTAAGGAACTCGTTTCCTCCAAATCATAGGCCGAAACGATAAGTGATACTGACATCGTCGAAAAGTTTCCTCAAGTATGACGAAGTACAAATAGCGGGGAGTTGTGGTGGGGTCCGAGGAAGTAAAATGTCTTGAATGTCTTATCTGGCCTTGGTCGTTAGCAGCTAAGTTTCGTCTACGCACGCGACGGGAGAAAAGATGTGTGCCCATGGGATATGTGACTCTGTTTCAAATACCCTGGAACTGACCTTCTCATTGACATCACCTGGAAGATAACTTTGTGCAATGCAGAAAATGTTGTACGAGTAGTTTACCGTAGAAAATTTGAGCACTTGAGATTTGCCGAATGAAAGGGAATGGATCCAAATTACTTTATTAGACTTCTACTGTGTTTGCTGCCGAGTTGATGGTCAAGTCGGTAGGCAACACAGAGCTGAACAACATGAACCTGTCTGTCGAAACGCATCCGACGGAGAGATACAGGGTTTCTTCGAGAAGTGGACAAAAGAATCTAGCCAGTTCTTGAAGGTACTATAGTAAGTTATTATGCAACTAAAGCTAACAAACTTGAAGACGTAGTTAGGTTACCTGTCAAGCAACAAAACAAAGGTGTAAACTCTGACCGCATTGGAAATAGATGTACGTTATCGAAATATCAACATGTATAAAGAACCGATGGAATTAACCGTATATACAATATAATAATTATTTTGTATTGTGAGCTGAAAGAAAAGATTCAAAATGAAATAATATTACCATAAGATTATATTCTATATCTAAAATAATAATATTTTGTAATATATCTCGTGACCGACTATTCCAAGTTACTCATCCAAATTATATCTGAGTAAATGACTGGATAGTACTCTTACGAAACACAAATAGCTTAATGTGATCCAACAAGGATCGTTTTACCCGGCACACCTTCATTAACGGGGTGCAAAGTTCTTGTATTTATAGGGTGCGGACTATAGTGTGGAGGAGTGATTGCAGCTAGTTCTATCTCCTACTCACACTATCACCGAGTGACTCCACCTCCAAATTGACCGCACCTACTCAATACTCAATACTCAAACTCAATACCTCAGAGGTTCTTGTCGGTTTTTTGTGAAGGTGATCTATCGATTATTATTCGAGATTGTCTCTCGACTGTTCTGATTTTTTCATGAGTCACATATTCACTTTCTTGTAGACTTGAGATTATGCTCAAGGGACTGATGTCCCACTGCGAGCTCTTGGAACCTCAAGGTTACAGACTTACCATCTTCATCCATAAACCACTATGGGCTCAAAATCACATCTTGGATTCATCAGCATTACTCTCGAAGCGCCTGGAAAAAATAGTGGACGGTGTGTTGTAGATGAGATTCCATCGAGTAAAACAATATTTATTGGATCCCAGTAATCTACTTGTGTTCCGCAAGGGTAGCATGGAGTAATTTCCTCAATTACATCTGAATGAAAGCAAGATACCAATGCTTACTTAGATATTTTGATTGCTATGGTAAAAAATACTATATATAGAAATATTTTTTTACAACATTCATTAAATATTCTAGACATGCATCTAATTAACAATGTCAATTTTAAAATTTGAAACTTTAGAATATGATGTCAAATTATTCTATTATTTCACTTTTTTTTAGCTTATGCTTGATTTAAATAATCATGTTTTTTTTTTCATTTCAGTTGTCTATTTAAATAATCCAAAACTTATGAAAGATTTTGCTAATTTTGTAATTTTTAGAAAAAATTTTAAATACCACTACCTTACATAAACATTCATTGTATTCTATCTTTCTATCCCACCACAAGAATATTTTCTGGTAACAATTGCAGATTTTTGTCTTGAAAACATCATTTTTGTCATTATAGCTTTTTATGCATTGTCATTTCATCATTGAGACTATTATTTACTAGTTCTGAATCTAGATAATTTTTCATTAGTTTTTTTTTTTTTGGTCTACTTTGGTTGGTTGATTGTTTCAGCTATTTGATATCTTGACATTTTGCTCTCAGTTAAGTACATAGTTTTGATATTTAAATATTTTTTTTGCTCGAAGTGATCTTGATTATTTTGACTCTTTCAATTTATTAGCACTTGTTTTGTATTGTCATTCATTTCTATGCATCTTTGATTGATGATGCTTTGAATCTATTTTACTATTTGTTACTTTGGAGTATTTTCAAATTTCAACAATTTTGAAGTCAAAACTTTCCATCAACTTATTTTTTTTAAAAAAAAATCTCTAATCATTAAATTTTCTATCTCTCATTTTTCAATATGATAAAATTATTTCAATGATCTAAAAATGTTGAATTTAATTATATTCAATTAAACATGAGATGATGGGTGCAAATGTTAGATGATTCTATAAATTGCTTTGAATCTTAAACTCTTTGCCATGTCTAATCATCACATCACACTTGGGCAAAAAAATCAATAATTTAAAAAAAATTTTAACAAAATTTGTTTTGGTTAGAAAATAGATGAAATAATACAAATCAAATTTTACTTCACATTTTTTCTTAAATCTTGAAATAACATACTCACTTTTAATGAATCTTGACGGTAAAAGTTTTATTTATTTTTTTTCTTCAAAAAACTATTAATGATTTATGTTGAGTGATACAATAATTTTAATTATGTTATTGAATTCTTGAACATTAAAGTAGTTGAATATCGATAATTATCACATTCTTGTTAAATTTTTAAATAATAATTACATGTAATTAAAATCAATTATAAAAATTACATTCTTTGTGAATAGACGAGTTTCAAAGAGCATAATAATCTTTGAATAATCTACTTTTATCTATTTTTTTTCATGTTTATTTACTTTTTATTTAGAAATGATGTTAAATTTTAAGCAAAAAATATATTTTGTATACAAATGTAGGATACATTAGATTTATCAAAGAATCAAAAAATAATAATTTATTTTTAAATCTCTTGTTAATGTTCTATATGTTAGGTTAATTCTATCTTGGATTAACTCCAATTAGTGGTAATCATGGTTAGGAAGTTGACTGTGATAACGTTAGTTAATATGTGCATTTTATCTAACCTTGTATAGAAGTATAGAATAGAGAAGTTACATTCATTACGTAAAGTTTAGGATTGCACTGAGAGAGTGAACATGAAGGAGAAGAGCTTGGCTATGGAGTCCATGTATACACCTATGCTTTAGTGAAGTTTATACTCTTGCTCATGGACGTAGCCAATGAAAGACAAACCACGGTATCTCGATGTTGTGTCTGCCGTGCGTGCTAATCGATGTGGATGATTAGGCTTTTCAATTGGAATCAGAGCTCGTTAAGTGCACACATAAATTTGATTTCCACAATGTTGGAGACAAGGGAGTCACAAAAGTGTTCTCAAAAATTTTACTCGCAATTTGAAGTAATTGTAGATGATTCTATGTGAAGTGTAGTTAGAGTCACTAATTACACTTTGATGAAAGAAGTGGATAGTTGCATCAAGTGAGTAAAGACATTTCTAAACTTTGAAGCGGAGAGTTCTTTTACAATCTTCCATGAGAGAAACTGCTTTGATTTCTCAAAATTTAAATTTTTTGTCACTCAATTTTCCAAATTTTCACACATAGTCTTGATCTACTATTTGAGACAATCATTTTGACCTATATTTTGTTGAATTCCATTTAGAGGTCGCAAAGTTATGGGTGTTTGAAGATTGAGATCAATTTCGACTATGGTGATTTCACAAGGTTGTAAATTTGGAGTGACGAATCTCGGATTTAGGGTTTGTGTAATTTCGTTTGGATTTAGGGTTTGGAAATTTTGGGTCAAAAGGGGCTCCAAAATACTTGGGTCGTAAGAGGTTAAAAAGATTAAACCTAACCTACAAAGTGGAAAACACCCCTCTGTGAAAAAACCTATCACAAAAGAATCAATTTTAGATTTTTTTTGGCAATTTTGATGCATTAGAGTAGCCAAATGATGTACATTTGAGCTCAAATTTTGCAAGTTGGTTTTCAAGCAAGTTGAGCACGCCATTTAAAAGACTGTTTTGGAAATAAACTTCATGTACATTTTTGGTAATAAACATTGTCTTGGAGGTTCCACATTCAAGTTTTTACCCTCTACACTATTGGATTGATAACTTTTTACTCGGACATGATTTTCACAAACTGTTTTCACATTCTAGTGGATTAGCTTGTGAACTACGCGTGAGTGGTATCAGATTTCAATTTTGAAAACTTTCATTTTTTGACAATTTTGGAGGTTAATGGTTGAAAACTGTTAACATTGTGAGCGCTTTCGTGGCATGAGTAGCTGGAGCGAGGAGTGAAACTTTTTCTAATTGTTGCACAAGAT